TCACTGTTGGGGGTTCTGTCCACCCCCGAAGCTACTGGACAGTCGATCGGGTGCCCCTGCGAGGGGGGCCAGGCAGCGAGGGGGGGGGCGCGCATCACGACCCGCGGTACAGATTGTGCAAGGTCCCACTCGGGAGCGGCATCTATCAGAGTTGATCCTCACTGAGTTGTGCGAGCTCGCAGATGCAACTGTTTTGCCGAGAGTTGCTGACCATTATATTATTTATCTCCCTCGTTCCTTTCCTCCCCTCTCTGTGTTTATTTCGTCTCGCATGTGCTGGCGGGCACGTCCCGAGGATCGGGACCCAGAGACGCCGCGGAGGTCCAGGGGGGCACTGTGGCGGGGTGGGCTAGAGGTCACTGCACACCGACTTGGGGGGCGTCCTCGAGCGCGGCCGCCCGGAGCTGCAGTGGGCTCGGAGGCTTGCACAAACTGATGCAGCACGCGCAGCCGTGCCTTTCTTCCTCCCCTTCCTTCCCCTCCTTAACTTTCTATGCTCCGTCTTGCCGAGGCGCCGTGCCGTACGCTGGCGCAGGGCTGTGCTGTTGTAGGGGCCCAATAGACGCTGTACGAGCAATGTGAGCTCCATCAGGGCCAGTACTGCAGGGCAGGAGAAAAAGACAGTGGGGCGGTTTCAAATGTCCAGTCCCGTGGCCTCAAGGTGGCGCTCAACGGTTCTCAAAGAATCAGGCTGTCCCTCAACGAATGAAGCTGTCCTCAACGAGTCAAGCGAGACCTGAACAGCGACTGGCCCTGCTGCCGCCGCCAGGGAGCACCATCCTCGAGCCCTGCGGCCAGAAGGGAATTTGAGTGGCAACTTCCGGGGTGCGTTTCCTCTTCCAACCCCCCTTCTTCCCGCCCTCGGACCACCCCCCGACACTGGCGGTGCAGAAGCACCGTATCAAAGGATGAGGAAGGGCAAGCCACCGCGACAGTGGTTGGTCGTCAGCCCCTCCCCGTCCCTCTATTTCTCCCAGCGTTTGCGTTCGGGCGACTTGGACGCGTTCCTGCTTCTCTCGCTCTCCCCTTCGGGGAGGGCGGTGCTCCTCCCCCGAAGCCCCTCCCCCTGGACCAAGAGGGCCTGTGGAGAGTCCAAAACGGCCTCGACGAGAAGGCCCAGCTCACTGATGTGTGTCCAAGGATGTGGCCACACGTTGGCCTCCTGACGGGGAGGCCCGCGGGGGAGCTCTCTGCGTCCATCGGAGGGGCCCGATTTGTACAGCGGGTTCTGCTTGGCAGACCCTGCAGAAGCATAGGTGTCGTCCTGTCGTGCCTGTCGCGCGTCGTGTCCTCTTCGTCTCTATCCGGGCGGTCTAAGGGTCTCCGCCCCCTCCTTCGATCGACTTCCTCCAGAATGGATGGCCCCGAGATGGCCCACAGGCTCCCAAGGCTACCTCACGAGGCCCCAAGAGGACCCCAAGAGGTCCCCAAGTTTAGAGGGCAAAATATCCACCCCCCTTGCAACCACCGCGACAAACGAAGCCGTTCAGTAGACGCACCCAAAGACGGACTCGAATAGGGTAGGGCTGCCTCGTAAACGCCCAGGGCCGTCGAGTAAACGCCAATTGTCGGGCCTGGGTGGTTTTCTTCCCTTGAAAGAGGCCCCCGAGAGGCCCCACAGAGGCCCCCTCCGAGGCCCCCAAGACGCTCCAAGAGGCCCCCAGGACTCCAATGAGACCCCAAGATGCCCCAAGAGGACTCCAAGGAACCTCCCGAGAGACATCCGACAAAGACTTCGAGGGGCATCCAGGAGGCTGCTCGCTTTCCTCCTCCTCCTCCTCGTTTTCCACCTCCCTCCTCCCCCTTACCCCCTCCCTCCTTCCCCTTCCCCTTCCCCTCCCCTCCCTAGCTCCTCCCCCTCCCTCCCTCCTTCCCCCCCTATCCTCCCCTCCTTCCCCTCCCCTTCCTTTCCTTCTTCCTCCTCTCTCCTCCCCCTTTCCCTCTCTCATCCGATTCCTCCTCCATCCCTTCCCCTTTTGGGGTACGACGTCCTTTCCTGCCTTTCAGTCCACTACATGCCCCTCCACATCCCTGATCAGGGCAACCCGTCTTGGCATCGTTTCTGGGTGGGCTGGTGGGGTTACTCGAAGCGTCCAGCTGATCGGGCTTGAATCGGTGATACATCGCCGACGGATCGGCGATAAGCCCCCGACAACGACTCCGAGCGCTGCTGGACGGGGTGGGCCACCAGGCCCCGATCGGCGATGAACGGGCGATCGGGAATCGACGCTGGAGTTTAGGATATCAGCTCTTCCACGACAACCACTTCGTCCACTGAGGCCGGGTCTGCTTGTCTCCCCGTCCCCGTCCCCAGGGGCTCTTGTCGGGGGGGGGGCGCCAGCGGTCGGAACGTCGAAGATCTGGGGAAAGGGGGGCGGCCGCGGCCGGACGGAACTCGAAGATCTCGCTCGAGGTGGCACCAACTTGGCCCGAGACGGCCCCAGACTACGAGTTGGTGGTGTCTCCATGCCCGCCTCCTGGGGAACCGACGTCCTGGACCACCAGTGGGCAGTGGATGTGGACCTAGCTTGGCCCTTGGGGGGGCGACTCTGCAGTCGGACTTGATCGGACAGGACGCGGGAGAGAACACAAGACCACACCGAAGGCCACATCCCGTAGGAATGCAGGAGGCATGGGTCGCGAGACTCAGGACACAAGGGTACCCGACCTACTCGGGGCCGACTCTCTCTATTTCTCTCTTTCTCTCTCTCTCTCTCTATATATATATATATATATATATATATATATCTGTACACATACATACATACAAACAAACATGCAAGACTGCAGCGGCGCTTCGCGCAATGCACCTTGGCCCTTGAAGTTTGGCACGCAAGCGGAATAGCAGGAAGGTCAAACCGACCATTTAGCGATCAATCCTTGTTCCGTTTTCTGGCATCGCCGCTATAATAATGGTATTCGTTATCCGTCATCCATGCTTCTGTTTTTGTTTTTTCATGTTCGTCATACCCTGCGCATTCTCCCCATACGCCTCAGCTCTTTTTTGCGGAGGCTCCTCCTTGGGGAGCCTCTGGGGGCCTCTGGGGGCCTTCTGGAGGCATCCTGGGCGTTTTCGGGGGGGCGCTGGGGGGCTTCCTCGATCCACCCTGCCTCCAGTCGCGGTTTCCCTGAACGACCGGGTCACGATTCGGAATGCTTCGGAAAATGTCTTGGGGCCATCTTGGGCCGCCAGGGGGATCTCCGAAAGCCATCTTAGACCCGTGTTGCGCCGTTTTGGGGCAGTCTTGGACTGCCTGGAAGCCCTTTTCGGATGGTTGTCGGGCGATCTGGGAGCCTCCCAGGCGGCTTCGGACGCCCAGAAAACCGCCTTGGTGCGTCGGGATGCCGAAAAAAGGAAAACCCCCGAATTCACCAACAGCAGCGATAAAATCTATGACTTGTGCCTCTTGGGGTCTTCTTGGGAGTGTTCGTGGAAGCCTCTTAGGGGCCGTCTTGGAGGCCTCTTGGGCCATCTTGGGGTCACGTCGGTCACTCTTGGAGCGCTCTTGTGCTGTTTTGGGGGTCCCTGCGACGTCTCCGATGAATCCCCTGCTCGCCCTAGGTGTGCTGGGAAGGCTTGGCAAGACGCCGTGCATACCGGGGGGCCACTTCGAGGCCCGTCCGGAAGGTGTCCAAGCCCCAGATCCCGGAAGTCTGGTTTTTTTTTGGGGGGGTCCCCCCGCCCGGGTTTGTAAAAATATAGGACGACAACTTATACATATACATATACATATACATATACATATACATGTACATATACATGTACATATACATATCTGTTCCTCCGAGGAGCCCTTTTATCCTCAGTGGCCAGACCGAAGGTTTGATCTGTGTGCTTACTGGTGCCCAGAGCTCTAGACGAGAGGATGCAATCAGGCGCCCAGTCCTCGAGACCGACGGCAGTCAGCACAACACCTCGCGTAGATTTTGCTCCGCGGGTGGGCTCGGGGGGGAGCTTGAGCACAATCGGTAGCGGGCGTGCTGTGACGCGCGGCCCCCTGTCCTCAAGGCACTCTCAGAAAAGATTCACATGCACGCATTGCCATCTGTTCCTCCGAGGAGCCCTTTATCCTCAGTGGCCAGACCGAAGGTTTGATCTGTGTGCTTACTGGTGCCCAGAGCTCTAGACGAGAGGATGCAATCAGGCGCCAGTCCTCGAGACCGACGGCAGTCAGCACAACACCACAAAATCGGAGAACTCCGAAACCATATGTCTGGAGACTCGACTTAAAGGCGAGGGGCCACTTTAGAAAACATCCCCCGAAACACATGGTTCCGATGTGCATTGAGAAACGCACGAGAAATATGTACACACAGGTCACTTGGGTACGGTTCGGCGATAGCCGTGAGAAAGCGGCCGGCCCTATCTTTACCAGCGAGTTCGATGTGGGGCTTACCTGAGAACGAGCAAATACCTCTACCACAGCACTTGAAAGGACGCAGACATGACAGGTCAGCATTAGCATAAAAGATCGCGGTGCGCTTTCGCCACGGAGTGCCGAAAGCGCAGAAGTCCACGGTTAAGCGCTGGACCCCGGACCGTTTCGAGACTCTCTCAGCCACAGGCTGCTTCCAGAGCCAGGAGGACCCCGGGTTTTCCAGGCCAACAGGGATCCCAAGGGACAGCGCTAACTCAAAAAGACTAAAGCTGAACGCACAGAGCCTATTTCCTTGCAAAACCTTCAGAGCATCACTAGGCGACAATCCAGGGAGGCCCTGAGGGTGCGAGCTGCTCCTGAGCGGAGGGGGGCCATTCGGTCGGTTGCGCGCGAGCGACATCGACTGACAAGGCGTGCCCAACCACACAGCTGCCACAAGGCCTGATCGAAGCCATCCGCGAACAAGCTGCTGAACTCGGCGCTGCAGAAGGTCTGCGGCCGGGTCATGCTTGAGATCCAGCTCAAAGGCGGCCAGGCGGCCGCGGGAGACACGCCGCCACGCCAGAGAGAGGCGCCCTGACCCGCTGAACACTTCCAGGAACACGGGTTGGCCGGCGTCCTCTACAGACCGAGCCAGACCTTGGAGAGGCGCCCGCCAATGATGCCGACCAGGCGCGTGGCGCGGCGCTGCTCGGAGATCGGAAGCCGTCGCATCTGCTCTGCCACGCGGCCCCCTTTGGTGTAGCGCCGTAGGGACGAGTCCGACACCCACCTCCCCCTCTTTTTGATCTCGTCGAGGCTTCTGAACTTTGCGAGGTATTCGTGGGAGGCCCCCCCGTGTCGGAGGGTGTAGAGCGTCGGCGGCCCCAGGACGCCGAGGTGCAGCGCTGTCGCAGCACGCCTGAAGACCAGGGCCCACTGGTTGTAGCTCATGTCGAAGACGCGGCCGCCGGGCGCGGCTCGGGCCCGCAGCGCCTGCAGCAGCGGTGGCAGCCAGGTGAACTCCGGGCTGTCCAGAAGGAGGCCCTCGTCGTAGACTCCCGTCTTCGAAGGCTGAGCGCACTCCATCGGATGCAGGACCACCGACCAGAAGTTCAGGAAGGTTCGCCCCGGAGGGGCGCCCTCGGCAGGCGGGATCACCTGCTCGCGCGTCAGGCTGAGCAGCTCTGCCGGCCGAAGGTACAGCGCGAAGCAGACTGCCGTCGCCGCCGCCGCTGTCGCCTCGCCTGCATCCAGCATCCAGTCGATCATCAGGCAGGCAATCGGCCAGGGCAGCGGCAGCCGGGACCGAGGCGGTACCAGCCGGGCCCAGCCCTTCGCAGCACGAGCGGCCCTCGGGAAGGCCACCTGCAGCCGGCCGGGCGCCGCGCGGCAATGAGCCAGTGCCGCCATGTACTTCGTCGCCTCCTCGCTCGGGTAGCCGTCGAAGAACAGCTGGTTGAAGAAGGTCACCAGGGCGACGTCCAGCTCGGGCACCTCCCCGATCGGCAGCCGGACCGAGGTCGCCCACCTCGTGAACTTCGAGACTCTGTCGGCATAGTCCCGGCGGGTCGCCTCCCCCACGGCCTGCGTCTCCAGGAAGGTCAGCGAGCCCGAGGTCGCCGCCGTGGTGGCGGCGGGGAAGGCGCGCCTCCTGGCGACTCGGCGGTCCGTCTGGTCCCCCCAGGCCAGCGCAGCTGCGCTCTGGGAGCGGCTCCGGCGCCCAAGGCGGGTGGGCGCTGGGGCTGCTGGAGCCGCCGCGGGCCGCCTGCGAAGGGCGCCCGGCGGGCTGGCAGCAGACGCTCCCTGGGGCGACGACCGCTGGAGCATACCACGCCTCGGGCCTAGCACCAGGCCGGTTCCGTGATGCTGGGTCGGCAGAGTTGAACTCGGACGGCAGCCACCTCCAGTACGCCGCCGAGCCTGAGGCCAGCAGCAGACATGCCACCTGCCGGCAGACGGCGAGGAGGGCGGGCGCCGAAGACCGCCCCTTTGCCAGAGCCAAGATGGGGGCCATGGCATCGTTCAGCATAACGTGGGCCTTCCGAAAGGACCTCTTGGAGCGAAGCTTGTGCTTAAGCGCCATCACGCCGGACCTGGTCTCCAGGATGACCTGAGGGGCTGGGCGCCGCCAGGGCACCGAGAGGACCGGGTGCCAGTGGTCCCTCCAGATGTCGGGCGGGACCTCCTCGAAGCTAGGGTCCACGTCGGAGACTTCGGGCCCGTCCGGGACGGCCCCTGAGGAGCCTTGACCAGGGACAGCAGCGGCTCGGGGCCCAAGGCGTTGGCGCTCAGCTTCTCGAGAGAACCTCCAACGCTCGTTGTACCGGGCCAGACGCTTGACCGAGTCCTCAGAGACCTCCCGCTGGGTAACTCCAAAACCCCAAGACGACGCATCCAGGCACGTGAGGGTGGTGTCGAAGGGCAACCCGAGGTCCCTGCTGCAGAAGATGAGGAGGGCCCGAGCCCAGCGTAGTTCACGACGGACGACGGGCCAGAGCTTAGCGGTGCGATTGTGGTATACCTCCCCAAACTTGTAGACGGCCCCCAGGCACGAGAGGAGCTCCCTCCTAATGAGCACCCTGGACGTGATGTGCGAGACGATCCTCACCATCTCCTTTCCTGAACAGAACCCACGTCGGAGGACCTCCTGAATCCCAAGGTACAGCTTCCACCTAAGTCTGGGGTTGAGCGAGATCACGGGCGAGTTCGAGTCGAAGGACCAGCCAAGAGTCTCCCCGCCCACTCCGCTCTCCACCCCGTGAGTAGGCAGTCCCACAGCACGCATATGATGATCGACCTGACGGGCAGCAGCAATAGCAGAGGCCTCCGATAGCGACAGCGCAACGAAGTTGTCGACGTATTCGGTATGAACAACGCCCGAGTCGACGACAGGGGCAGGCAGGCGATCCACCAGGACCCGCTCCGGCCTGACGAGGCCAGCACGCCGCGAGACAATCTCGTTCACTGACTGGCACAACCAAAGACTGAGACTGAATCCCATCGGAGGACACCTGAAGCACGGATAGACCCACTGTGTAGGCGCCACGGGCCGTCCATTCGCATCGACCGAGATCCCCAGTTCACCAGCCCTGATCTTAGGGAGTCCGAAGTACCGACGAAGCCAAGGTGGGAGCAACATGGTATAGAAGGCATCCGCGATGTCCACACCAGCGACACACACAGGCTCCCGACTGTCAACCCTGAGCTGAGAAAACGCGGCCCCAGTTGCCAGCTTCACTTTGGGGGGCTCGTCGAACAACTGGGACGGGATCCGGCCATCCAGTATGAGCCTCAGGGCCCCTGATTTCTTATAGACGAAGAACATTCCCACTGAGCTCAACGCTTCGGTATGAAACTCAACGAGGTGCGATGACACAAGGCGGTGCAATACTTTCTTATACAAGCGAGGGTTCCTCAAGTTGGGATCCGAATACGCCCTCCTCGGAGCGTGCTCCGCGACCCGGGCAAGCCCCCGCTCACGGGGCAAAAGTAGTTCTTGAAGGCGATGACCAATACTCATGCTGTCGTCCCCGATGAGCGCAGACAAGGACTTCGGTTCGGAGCCCACGCTCGGCAGGGAGATCAGATCGACGCGGTCGAAGGTCACCGGCGCAATCACGGCAGACTCCTGGTCGTATGACTGCGCGACGCGGAGCTCCTCGAGGGCTCCTGCGGGAGTGAGGTCGGGCGGGGGCACTCCGAAGGCGTCGACGGCCTCCTGGATCACCGCCAGAGCCTCCTGCTGGGCGGTCGTAGGGCCAGCGAGGCCAGTAGCCCGCGGACAGCTCGAACCAGTGTACATCTCATTCATGGCGCGGATGGCGTCGACGACCATCTCGCGGCGGTGACTGGTCCTGTGGAGTCGCCTCTTAGTAGTGCGAGACAGGTCTGTAGCCACAAAACTACGCTCATCACCGGCGGGCACAGGGAGCGGAAAGAGATCCCGATGCCGTCGCTGACGAGCTGGCTGGGCCCCATGTACATCTGCAGCGCGGGAGGCCATATCCGCAAAGCCCCCTCGAGAGTCGCTGAAGGCGGTCGGGGAGTCCGCCTCCAGGCCCCGCTCCGTCATGGAGCCAGAGCGCGACGCTCTTCCTTAGCCTTCCTGATCTGCTTAAGGATTCCAGCGTCGCGCTCCACTTGCTTGGCCACGTGCTCCAGCAGTGCCGGAGCCACCATCATGCGGCCGTCCTCGCGGGCCGTGCCCGTGAAGACTCCCACCTCGTCCACGAAACCGAACTTCAAGAAGCCACCGCCGCCCCGACTCTTGGGCTTGCCCTTCGCCTTCGCCTTGGGCTCGCCATCGGTCGGACCAGCAGCTGAGGCGCCCGAGTCGCGCGCCTCGTACTCCATGGCGTACATGTACTCGTACAGCTGCGCCTGCCGCAGCATGACCTCGACGCCCACCACGTTGGGCAAGTCGAGGAGGTCCCACGTCATCAGGTAGTCGACCATCCGCATGATGGACTCGTAGTGCGTGACCCCGAAGTCATCGCGGGACAGCCGGTAGTAGGACACGAACTGGTGGAAGTGCTCGATGGCCCCCCCGCGCTTCCTGTCCAAGAAGCGGAGGCACCACAGCGTGGTCCTTGGGCCGTCCAGCGGCCAGTCGGGGAAGGGCTCCTCGCGGAGCCTGTCGACACTCTCGTGGAACTGCACGCGCTGCCGCGAGCCGTCTCCAAGCAGGGCCACGGGCTGGAGGCGAGCATCAGCGAAGGCTTCGGCGCCCCGGTAGGCGGCCTGCGAGGTCGTGATCAGCCGGATGGCCGACCAGCTCCCGCCAGCGTCCTGCTTCAGGCCGATCGCCCCCCGAACGAGCTCCGTCCCGTCGATCGTGACAGGGTCCCCGCGCCGGGCCGTCGTCGTGGTCTCGACGTAGACCCACTGTCCGTCAGCTCCAGGCACGGCATTCGGCCCCAAGGGGCCTGCGGGAGCCCCAGCAGCGGCGAGCGGTGCGGCGGCTGCCGCCACTAGGGCAGCACCAGCAGGCGGTCCAGCCGCGGGCGCGGCGGGGCCAGCCGGCACCACAGCCAGGGCGGCGGCCACAGCTGCCCCTCCCCCGGCGGCGGGGGCGGCGGGGGCGGGCCCAGGCGCGGCAGCGCCACCAGCCGCGGCCGCGAACGTGAAGTAGACGGCAGCCCCCGCCGGAGGCACCACCCCGGGCCGCCCGGCCGCGCGCTCCGCGTCGAGGAACACGTCGCGGGCGTAGGCGTCCACCTCGTTCCTGATGGCCACCTCCTCGGCCGCCGTCAGCGCGCGCCGGAAGCGGTTGAGGTTCCCAACCTCCAGGCCAGCTGGCCGGGTGCGCCGGTCGTCTTCGAAGCGGACCGCAGCCAAAGTCCCATCAGACATGTCGTACAGCTCCTCGTACACATCGCCATCCGGCGTCGAGATCAGCACCCTCAAGGGGGACCAGGGGGCATCAGTCGGATCCTGAATCACCCGGCCCCACACGCGCCGCTGATGCCACAGCGGCGCGCCGGCGTACTGTGCCCACGCCCAACGGCGCACCCCCGGCGGCGCCTGCTCCTGCGCCATCCTTCAGGGCGGCGGGCGTCGGAGCCGGCCGCAGCCTCACCACGGCCGAGCCGACCAGCCTTACCCCGTGGAAGTTGAAGACCAACAGGTTGAGGGCGACCAGGAAGCAGGCCAGCCACCCGCCCGTCCAGGAGAGGCCCTCAGGCTCCTGGGCGACCGGCTGGGGCGCGGGCGCGGGCGCCGGCGCCTCTGGAGCCGCCGGGCAGGCGGCCGGCGGGTGGAAGTGGATCGGCGCCGCCGCTGGGCAGGCTGGGCACGCCGGCGGCTGCGGGCACGCGGGGTACGCCGGGCAGCGGGCCGACCAGCTCACGACCGTCTGCGAGACGGTGCCGACGAGCCAGTCCAGGTACCGCTGGCCAAACAGCCAGGCCATGGGAAGCGGGGGATGCGTCTCCCGGCGCGTCCGCGCCGGTGTCAGCTTGAGCACAATCGGTAGCGGGCGTGCTGTGACGCGCGGCCCCCTGTCCTCAAGGCACTCTCAGAAAAGATTCACATGCACGCATTGCCATACATATACACACCTACTATATCCACGGGTGCCGCTGTAAACCCAACTGTGGCCACAACGACGATTTCCATCGTTCCAGGCCCATGCCACCGACGCAAAGAAACACGTAGTCAGAACGCGGGGCGCCACGTCCCCGCGTATCTCACAATCTCGCTGCCGCTATTGTTTGGTTTATCGAACTGCGGTTTGTCCCCACTTTGATTTCCGTCCTGCCCCGTCGTGACACCCAATGCGATTGCGCAGCTGCTCGGTATCCCCCATGCCCGACCACGTAGACATCCACCAGTTCCTGATGTGGGGGGTGGCTCGGGGCCTCTTTGTGCGCGCGTGGGAGCGCGTTTTTTATGTGTTTGTTGTTGCTGTGTCTCTTATCTGTTGTTGTTGTTTCTCTTATTTTTTTATGTGTTGTTCGTGTTCCTTGTGGTCTAGCCTTCTCGTTGTCAGCGGTCGTTCAGATGTCGGGTATATGCAGAAGGGGCGCGCATATGTCTGACTCATCAATGCCCTCCACTGCTACGAGTTGTTGCCGATTAAGTCCACGGGAAGGGGGGAGTTTCTTCATGCTGGACGCCAAACCTCATGCCGTTGAGAATCGCACCCGTGGGATTAGAAGGTTCGGGCTTATGGGGGATGCTCAATGGTTTCCCTGGCAAGTCCCTTGCATGGGGTTGCATGGAGCTTTGACGGGGCCTCAGGCAGTACCTTCTTGACTCTCTGGCGAAGCCTGTCAGGAGGTGAGGGAGGGGCACAAACCTGAGAAATTGTATCGTATAGCCAAAGCCCGCTCGCTCGGGCGGGTCCGCCCTGCAAGAGTGAGAGGAGCAAGAATCGCGTGAAAGAGTATGGTGTGGGGATGCCTTGCTCTCCCTGGCGGAGGTGTCTCTGGCGCTCTGGCGGGGCTTGCCCAGGAGGCGAGGGAGGAGCACGAAACCTGAGGAAAATTGTATAGCCACACCCCGCGCGCTCTGACGGGGCTACCTCGGGTGCGGTGGGAGGAGCAGGAGAAAACAGAGACTGCACATGGCATAGCAACACCCCTCTCGCTTTGCCGTGGCCGCCTTTGAAGGGTGGGGGGGGGGGGGCAAAGCAATGTGTGAAATGATAGGGTATGGCGATGCCTCGCTCGCTCTGGCAGGGCCTATCTGGCGCTCTGGCGGGGCCGCCCCAGGAGAGGAAGGAGGAGCACGAAAGCTGAGGGATGAGGGGAAGAAGAGGAGAGAGAGGAGGGAATGGAGGCAAGGGGAGGGGGCGGGAGGGAAGAAGGGATGGACGAGGGAGGCCCGGGCCATCGGGGCCGTCTTCTAGCGCCCTGGGGCCTCCCGCTCCCGCTCTGTGGCCCATCTTGGGCCTGCCCTGGGGGCTCTTGGGCCGTCTCGGGTTCCTCCTGGGCAATGTTCGGGCTCTCTGGGGCCGTGTTGGGGCTCTTTTGGGTGCCTCTGCGGCGGTCTTGGGGCGGTCTTGGGGGCTTCTTCTGCCGTCTTGGAGCGTTGGAAGCTCGAGAACGCGAGAACATTGATAAAACACCTGGAAATCTACGATGTTGGCCTCTTCGAGCTCTCTCGGGACGTCTCTCGGAGCTCCTCTTGGGGCCTCTTGGAGGCCTCTTGGGCTGTGTTTGCCATCTTGAGCTCATCTTGGGCCACGTTGGAATCATCTGGGCCGTCCTGGAGCGCCTTGGGACCTCCCGCTCCCGCTCTGGGGCCCATCTTGGGCCTCTCCTGCGATTCTCTTGGGCAGTCTTGGGCTGCTCTTCGGCAGTCTTCAGGCTCTCCGGGGATGTCTTGGAGAGTTGGAATCTCGAGAACGCGAGAAAACGGAAAACATTGGAAAACTACGGAACATCTACGATTTGGACCTCTTCGGGTACTCTCGAGACGCCTCGCGGAGCTCTCTTGGGGCATCTTGAAAGCCTCTTGGGCTGTATATTTGCCGTGTTGGGCCCATCTGGGGCAACGTTGGGGCCATCAAGGTCGTCTTGGAGCGGCTTGGCGCCTCCCGCTCGCGCTCTGTGGCTCAGCTTGGGCCTGTCCTGGGGCTCTCTTGGGCCGTCCGGGGTTCCTCCTGGGCAATTTTCGAACTCCCTGGTGCCGTCTCGGGGCTCTTTTGGGGGCCTCTTTGGCGGTCTTGGGGCGGTCTTGGGGGTTTCGTCGGCCGTCTTGGAGCGTCGGAAGGTCAAAAACGCGAGAACCCGAAAAACATAGGAATATAACAATGAAATCAATGATTTGGGCTGTATATTTGCGGTCTCGAACTCATCTTGGGCCACGTTGGGGCTATCTGGGCTGTCTTGGAGGGGTTTGTCAAAGTCCCCGAGGGCTTCTGGGAGCTCTCTGGGGCAGTCTTGGAGCTCCAGGGCTGCGGGTGCTCTGGGAGCGGTCTGGGATTCGCGTTCTCCTATCCTCTTCCTCCTCCTCTCCTCCTCATCCTCCTCCTGAGTTGCCGGCCGGGCTGGGCCGAGCAAAGCCGGCGGGCTGGCCGAAACGGGGACGACGACGATAACGACGACGACTACGACAACGAACAACGACGACGACGACGCGTGGACGGCTGGCGCCCTCCCGGGGCGCCCCTCCCGGCTACGAGGACGACGACGACGACGACGACGGCAGCGACGGCGACTTCGCTGCATGCCACGAGACCCTCAACGACTGAGTCACAATGTGGAATATCATGGGAGCGAAATCAATGAATGTTGGCATTCGGAAACATAGTGGGGGTGTTTTCGAGGCCCTCGTGGGCCGTTTCGGCGCCTTCATGGGCCGTCCTGGGGCCTTCTTGGGCCGTCTTGGTGAGCTTGGGCCCGCTGGAGCCCCCTTTGGACCCATCTTGGGCCCTTCCGGGGACCTCCCATGGCCCTTTTGGGTCTGTGCTGGGAGCCCGTGGAGGGCCTCTTGGGTCCATTACGGGCTGTCTTGGGGCTCTCGTGGGCGATCGTGGAGCCCGGCTCGGCCGTCTTGAAGCTTTCTTGGGGGCCTTTTGGGGCGTCTTGAGACGATCTCGGGGGCTTTGAAGCCGTCTTGAAAGCTGATGAAATCCGAAAGGCGAATCTGGTAACATTGTAAGTTTTACAAAAAGGAGCTGGGACGATTTGTATGTTTTGAAAGCCCCTTGGAAAACTTTTTGGGGTGCCTTGGGGCTCTTTTGGGCCGTCCTGGAGCAATTGGAGTCCCTCTTGGAGCGCTCTTGTGCTGTCTGGGGCCTCCCTTCCTTGAGTCTTTCTGATGACCCATCTGATCGCTCTGGGTCTGCTGGCAAAGCGTTCGTGGAGTCCCGGAAAGCCGGGTGACCTTCTCCAAGGACGTCCAGGGGAGCCCGAGAACCCCAGATCCCGGGGATCCAGTTTTTTTGGGGGGGGACGGTTCCCCCCCCCACACCCCGGGCTTGTAAAAATATAGGAAGAGGAATAGTTATGCATATAACTATATCTATATATATACAAATACATGTACACCCTCATATAGTTATACATAAACATAAACCTATCCATGCCCATATCCATGCACATATCCACCGCCTGCCGAAGACCCCGAAGGTCGAGCCCCCGGGCAAGGGTTATGGATAGACGCCGGCCTCGGACAGGTGGCCTTCAAGATCGTGCACCACGAGGGTTGCCTTTTCGCTTCCGACGGGCTTCGGATGCCTCAGGATGACCTCAGCACGGCCCGTGAGGGCCCCAAAATGGATCCCAGACTGCCCAAAGACGGCCCCCAAGAGAACCTCTCCAAGAGACGATAGGTCGAGCTCTGTATGCCCATGGCGTTGAATCTAGCCCCGAAAGGGCCCCAAGGGCTTCCAAAAGGATCCGAAGAGAGCCACGATGGAGTCACCAAGGTCCCAAACTAGACTAGCTCCAAAACTAGAACACCAGGCTAGCTCCAAAAGACCTCCAAGAGGCTCCGAGAGGTCCCACCAAGGTGGCCATTGAGGAGGGGGCTGCCCTGGCTGACCCCAGCCTCGATGTCATATGTGCCCTGCCTGTTTGTTCCTACCGTCCTCACGATGCGTAGCTATCCTGGAGGGCTATTTCTGGAGGGGCTGGCGGGGAAAATGCAAAGAGTTAAGAATGAGGTGCTCGATGGACAGTGATCCTCCCTTTCCCTCATCCCCACTGCCTCGTCCTCCCCCTCCCCCTCCTCCAGTCTACGCCTTGTCACCCTCGACAGCTTCTTGTACCAGCTCCTCCCCCTCCGCCTCCTCGTGTTCCTTGCCCCCGTCCTCTTCCGCCTCTCCCCAGCGCCCAGCACGCCAGGCGGCCTCGTCCTCGTCCTCCAGGCCCTGCGGCAGGTGCTGGGGCATGTCGCCCGAGAGCCCGGCGTAGATCACGAGGAAGTGCTTCTTCGCCTGCCCGAGCTCGGCGGAGGGCCGCCACACAGGCATCCCCACGCCACAGCACGCGCTTGCAGGAATGGGCACAAACATATGGTAACGGTGCTCCTCCTCCGTCTCCTCCTCATCCTCCTTATCACTGCCTCCTCCTCCTCCTCCTCCTCCTCCTGGTCGTCGTTGATGTCTTTCAGGGTCGGCGGCACCGGCCGTCAGGCCTTCACGATATGGTAACGGTGCTCCCAAAGTAAGAACGTAATGCTCGAATCTGACCCGCGGAGCCATGAAGGAAACACTTCCGGGCGGGCGTTCCATTCGGGCGCTCTCCTGCGACTCGCGGCATATCGCTCTCGAGCACACTCGGGGACTGCAAGGCTAACGAGAGTGTCTGCAAGTCCCACCAGACCAAATCTCTTCGCATGTGAACACGCGCCCTATTGCTCCCTGTAACGGGCAGCCTGGGAATGCGATTCAAGAGAGGATAGCGCACACATCTGCTTGTTGGTGTGCCCGCATGGCTCTCAGCAGAACATACGATAATT